CTTTGATGGCGATCCGCCGGGCTTTTAACAGACAGCCTGGTGACTGCTTCGCACTCTACCGCCCGTCGCAGCAAAAAGGAAGTGCTCCCTCTTTGGTGCATGCCCCTTTTGGAACAGTAGAGTGTGAGCTAGCAGAACATACGTATATATATATATATATACGCACATATATGAAGCTCTCAACCGAAACCCGCACCTGTGAGACTTCGGTTGAGGTGCACGGTGGTACAGCAACAGCAGTCACATTTTCATGTTGCGACCTAAATAGTTGGGGACCCCCATACCATTTCCGGGCGGCGGTCTGTTTCTTTTGTTGCCTGTAACCCCCTCGACCTTGGTTTGGTAGATTTTGATTGGGGGCTTGGGGTGGGGGTGGCTGTGACTAGTTTAGGAGGGAATAGGGGGATCTGAGACAGTTGGGGGTTTAGGTCGTGAGTGCCTTAAGATTGACCAGGAGCGGACAAGGAACAATACAACCCAAATTTTGGGTGGAGATCAGAATAAGCCCGGCCCAAAATCCTTGATTACAGGTTCTGTGACGGGAAAACGCAGCGTTTAGAGAGTATAGGTGTAGGGTCCTTCCTTGAGTCTCATGTCATTCGTGGGTGCAGCGGGTGTTGGAGCAGCCAGGTTTCTGCGCTTGTAGCTCGCGCTCGATGTTCAGCGTCATTGGCGCCTGGGCCATTGCTTTGAGGAAGCCGAGACGCGATCCATATAATGAACTGTTCGAGTGAGACCACGGGTCGATGGTGACAGGGTCACCCAGTCTCTGCGATCAAGAGACGTGGTCCGGACCATAGGTGTCTTCGTGACTTCGGACCAAGCCTCTGCCGAAAGCCTGCAATGAGGTGTTGCGCGGTTTCTCTGTGGTCTTTTCACAGAGCAAAAGAAGGCAGCCTGTAGCCCTGGCCTCCAGGCACACCATCTCGAAAGCGAGGGATTTCAGGCGGTTCCCAGGCCTTGCTGCACAGTGCTTTGAAACGATATCCATCTGATCCGAAGCCCGCTGCCGAGTGACTCGCCCTGCCGCAGCTTCTCAAAGGCCACGTCTTTCGGCTGGCCCTTGAGCCTCGGGGCGGAAAGGGCGTCCCCTTCTTTCCCCCCCGCCCAGGTCTTCGAATTTCTGAGAAGCCAAAGGGGCATCCATTGCGACCCCTCGGGAGAGCTGATGTCTCTGAGCCTTAGATCTTTTCACTGGACTGTGACTCAACTCGCAGAGTGCGTGAGTGACATCAATGCGCGACATAGCACCCAAGGCTTCATGGTTGTCAGACTGCTCGCGGCAAATTTAATTTGCTTAAGACAAGCGGCATGGCATGCGTCCCAACAACCGACTGTGACAGCAGGACTGCACAGTGACACACGGCAGAACTGGAAGAACCGCTGGAAACTGGAGTGATCTGTCGGATCTCAGTCCCGAAGAAACAGGAATCCTTGATCCGAGCTGGTGGTAGTCAAGCGGCAAGGCATCGTAGAAGCCCCGGTATTGATAGTGGTTCAAGATGTACCTCCCCATCGCGAAATCAGGTCTGAGTAGTCTCCGACGAGTCCGAAAGCTGCTAACCGGCCCTCAAGAAGCGATCAGACAGATCGCAAGATCGTGACCCAAAGGATTTGCCAGAGCTCAGGCAGCTGCCCGGACCTGCCTCCGAAGGCCACCTTCAAATCAAGACCATAAAGCCATAAAGGCCTTAGTAGTCCCACTCCGTGTGAGGCCTCAAGTCCAAGCCCAATATTGGCCCTGCAAAGTATCCGGACTCCGAAGTCGGGAGTGCTGTCCAATGTCCCTCTGCTCCAATTGGCCCCATATCATACCGGAATCGCTCACACTCTGCGCAAGCGAGCCTTTGAAAATCAAGTCAACCTCAGAATGTCTCATCCCGACAGCGCTAGAAGCCGAACAAAACTCTGTCTGGCCTCTTCTTTCCCACTTTGCATGGCTGCGTGCAGCGCGGCACACCTCCATGCACGTCGTACACGCCCCGTGCCTTGGGAGCCACAGGTCCAGTTGGAGAAAAAAGGCTGGCACTTGTCAGTTCTGACTGGTTCATGCAGCTTTTTTCAGAGCAGAAATGCTTAATTAGATCGCATGCTGGAAACATGTCACCCGAACAACAATAAGAGACCCAGCCCTACCTCTTCCGAACCTAGCCTCAACGGGCTTAACACGGAAGATCAATATGCCGCCCAAAGCACGTCAGGAATGAAGGCCTTGCGTTTGACCATACCTTTGAGCCTAGGCTGCTCGGCGAATGTTTCGGCCGTCGTGGTGGCTTTGCAAGGTTGCAAGTCGGCAGGCACCATGCTGCCCCAAGTTCCGAGTTCACATGCTGCGCCCTCAATCATGCAAGTGCCTGATGTTAGCTTCAAGGCAAGGGATTCGAGATATTTAGTTAACTTCATGAGGCTCACGCCTGTCGCTAGCAGGACATGCAAAATAGTATAGCTCAAGCACGTTGCCTCGAAACCGCAACAAAGGTTTCATTGCATTTGCCCAGCTGCTTCTGTGCGAATACACCAACTACAACCATAATTGCAGCGGGGAAGCAGGTGATGTGAAACTTACTGTCTCGCTACATTGTAGAAACTGATCAGACTTTCTTCGCCTCTGAGTTTGAATCCCGAACCTTTCTCGAAAGCCTTTCGCATTGCGAGTCATTAATGGAATTTAGAAAAGCTGCCCCACGCAGGGTAAAGGATATGGCCTGACAGGGCATTTCGGGAGTCTCGGAATCTTGCATGTTGCCAGCACATATCGCGGCATTCGTTGAGTCGCACCATACTAGTCATTAGTCAGCTAGCTCTGGAACGACAGAGCTGGCAAGGTTAGGGTGAATCTAATCAATGGCTGTCTTCGTTCCTCTTGAGAACCCATGACAATTTATATATATATATATATAAAGATATGCTGATATACATACAAAGAAAAGAGTATATACACGTTTACAGCGAGAGAGAGAGAGAGAGAGAGATCAGAGAGACGATAACGGAGACTTTCAGTCTGTGCACCGAGCGTTGCATGCACTCGATTTGGCGAATGCAGCGCTTTGACGGAAGAGCCAGCAGACACAAATCTACATCGACGACGAGCTCCTCTTCTGTTTATAAGGCTATGATTGGTTGCTCGCCGTGCGCGTGCTCTCTGAGCAGGTCTTAACTTTTCAGCCGGCAGGGCACTTCTCGGCGAGATGTAAAGCAGGCTGCTAGAATCCATCAATGCTACGCAGCAAGATCTTTCCGGTTCGGGGTCGCAGACCTCGCCACCCCATGTGTCGTGTCGGAGGGGTAGCAGAGCCACTGCAACTCAAACCTCAGCTTCCAAGGACTTAGAGCTGCAAAGGCCTATAGCCTCTAGTCTGTGTACAATCCCAGCAGGCGCAAGATGCGACTATGGCCCTACGAAAAGACAGCTGCTTCCCCGGCAATGCTGCCCATGTCTGAGCCGACAGCTAGGACAAGGCTGCAGTGTAAAACATTCTTGCTTGACAAGTGAATGAAGGAATTAATGCAGGTATCAATGCTAAGGGACATGTCCGCCTGCGGCTCGAATTCCACTATCTTCTTCAAGCTGAACTCCGGCGGCCGCAGAAACTCATCCACATCCTTATCGCTTCGCAACCCATCAGCGTCTGTTCAATCATCGCGCACAACTGCTCAGCAAGAGGGGTGACAATGACATGATGTCTAATGGGCTATCCGAAACGCCCCCTGGCATGAAGAGCCTTGCCCGCCGACCCAGTCAGGAATGCACGAACTATGAGACAGCATGCTGGCTGCCCTCAGTGTTCAGCACTGCACGAGTGAACATGTCTCCGCTCACACCTGCCCACACCCCGAGAAGTAATACCCTCGACTTCTCCCTCTTCTTCCTGATCCAGATTTCAAGCCGCGGATCCACATCAATGATCCAGTCTTCTGTGACTGCCTGGCAATAGCTCGCACCACCGACCTCTATGGCTTATGTAAAGCTGTGTACTGTAGCACGTAGATCTGCCGAATTGATTCCGTATGTTGCTCACGTGGCGATGTACAAAGTCCCATCCCCAAAGTCCCAAAGTAGCTTTCAACTTCTGCCTAGATCGCACACTCCGTCTTGTCAACGTCAATATCAATTCTTCGGGTTGTCAGGGGAGCATAAAGATGCAGCTTACATGTGAGATATCTTAGATCTCTTCTACCTGCTCAGACCGCTTGATCGGCAAGACCTGGACATAGATTTCGACTTGCAGCGTGTCTACGGAGTTCGTGACTTGCAGGCTCTACCCGATGTTGCAGAGCCCACAGCATGGCAAAACGTGACAAGACAGCAACGCTCCCACAACTCAGAAGCAGAAAACTGGACAAAATGAAAGACGAACCAGTCGAGGCCACGGAGTAGTTCAGCTTCTGGAGCCTCGGTGCTTGAGATTTGAGGGGGCGACGTGATGCTTGCTTGCGGTTGGGCATAGGTATCTACACACCCCTAGACAAGCTTTTCACTGTACATACATAAGCAAGTTATGCATGTAACTGATTGTGACACAGTATATGTTTTTGCTTGCAGGCAGGCGGGCGGGCAGGTATGGCCATTTTGCATACCCTCTTCCGGGACTCGCTACTTTAACGAATGTGCCAGGTATATTAAACCGATAAGGCCGCGGCTTCCGGGGTTTTGCTACTCAGCGAAGGACATTTAGCACGGGCCACTCAAAGTGAGAACCTGCTGCAGAACCGCTTGCGGGTTTTGGTGGTCGCGGCATTATCATCGCTGATCTAACTTGCGCATTCTGTGGAGAACTGTACTAGTCACTAGTCACGCAGCACTCAGGAGGGAGGATATATTGGATCATCGCCCTTTATCCTACAAAACCGACACGGGTGCACGGATAGAGGATCCCGTAAGCCTATATAATGCTGGTACTAATTAGATTAATCACGTTAAGCAACTAACGACATATGTTTAATTATATACATATGGTGTATATATGTATTATATTTAGAACACCAGCCATCCATCCATCCATCCCTCCATTCATCCGTCCATCCATGTATGTATGTATTTCTGTATGTAGGTATGTATGTATGTATGGGCATAAGTATATGTGGAGGTAGGTATGCGTGTAAAAGTGTATGTAACGATGTGTATGAGCGTATACTACTATGTATGATATATACATACATACATGCATACATGCATACATACATGAGTACATACATGCATACATACATACATACATACATACATACATACATGCAAATATATATATATATATATACATATGTGTGTGTAATAATCGGTGCATACATACATACATACATACATACATGCATGCATGCATGCATGCATGCACGCATGATAAACTCGTGCATGCATACTTACATGCATGCATGCATGCATACTTCCATACACAAATACATACATAAATATGGTGGGTATAGATTCAATTAGGTATCTGAGAAAGTATCGCCAATGAGATGTATATATATATATATACGTATATATATATATATATACATATACATATACATATACATACATACTCTACAAGTATGTGTATTTTTGGCACTCACACTCGACCAAGTCAGGCGAGGATGTGTATACATGTAGCAATGTGCGCATACACATGCTGAAGCACTTTGGCGGAAGGAAAACATTCATGTGCATGCATGTGTTTGTATGCACATGTACGTATGTATGCCAAGGTGTCTATGCACGTCATTTATGTATGCATGCATGCATGCATGCATGCATGCATGCATGCATGCATGCATGCATGTGTATGTGAGTATGTATGTATGCATGTAGGTATGCAGGTAGGTATGTATGTATGTATGCAGGTGTGCAAGCATGCAATTACATATGAATGGCTGAATGGAATGAACAACGAGCGAATGAATAAATAACAGACAAACGGACTGACTGACGATTTGACTGATTGGAGTTAATGAATAAACGAAGGATGGACAGAAGGAAGGAAGGAAGGAAGGAAGGAAGGAAGGAAGGAAGGAAGAAATGAATCGGGACGAGTATGAGTATGTGCATGAGTACGAGACATCAGTATGCATAAGGAGAAGCATGTGGTCTTGAACAGGAACATGAACACGAATATGAATGTGAATGAACACCACTGCAGGAAAGCATAAAGGAGCAAGGCATGCATGATGCATAGATGACGAATGAACGGATGCATCCAACCTAGAAGAATGTCGACCAACACAGTCGAGCAGCTTCTGCGGGTCCGCTGCACCCAGGAAGGTGACCTTCGTAAACTACTGTGCCGTGTCTACAAGCTACCCGGTGGAAAAAAGGCACCAGTGCCCAAAAAAAAAGGCTGAGGAGTTGCGTCGACAAACTTCGAAGCTCTCGGGGCTGAGATGAGTTGGGCTTGCGTCGAGAGCTTCAACAAAAAGGAACGGCCCCCTCTCCAACCGATGTGCCTGCTTCTTGTAGCCCAGGGCATTGACCTGATATCGACTGACGAATGTGAGTCTGGGTACGGAACACTTTTGGTTCTGAAGTAAAGCTACTCTGCTCCTGGGCAAACGATGGCTCTTGAGAGAGGGGTCAGAGAAAGTATTTGCGGCTTTGTTGGCGATGTGGAGCCAATTGCCTCAAAACTACTGTCACTTACCTAAACCGAAATCATGCAGACCTTGTCACCGCCCCGGCAAAAAAAAGTCTGAGAGCCTTGCAGCCTGCGATTTAGTCTTGTCCCTCCGTGAAACAAAGGGCGCCTTGTTTGCGATGAGCTTCTGCTCGCTCGGGTTAGTGCAGAAGAAGTAAATGCGGTCTGTAGACCTCGGCGGCATGGAACCAGCAGTGGGACACACATTCGTGCGAGTAGCATGTTCACTTTATGATGCTTCTGCGAGGGCAGGCTTCCGCTTCAGTCTCGATGCTACAGACTTCGCAAGAGGGTCGAGCATGAGTCCTACCATGCTTGGGGTGGCTGGTCCTCGGCCGGCCCTTCACAAGGCGATCTATCTGGACCCCAAGTCGTGTACCAGGAGGCAGAAGACGTCAGAAGACAACTGCCCAACACCGTTTGACGACAACTCCGACAGAAAATGAATATTCCTATCTTGGTTGTTCTAACAATCGCATTCATTTCCCAAGTAGAAGCTAGACTGAAGCTAACAGCGCTGTTCAAGGAGGGCCTTACCATGACCATGCCAGACTTCGCACACTGGGCTCTTAGCTATGCCATGCCAGCCGGAAGATCACACAGGCATCGCAATCGCTGGTGTTTGTTTGAGAGTCCTCAAGCCAGATGAATGCCAAGATGCAGCTTGTCGATGTAATGGCTAAGGAAAGGCTTCCTCAGCTGCCAGCAGTCGGGATTCTGCCATGTCTTCTTTCCCAGTGCGTAACGATGCATGTAACTAACCACCCTTCTGTACCATCCCAAGATGTGCAACCTCCAGAACTGCGCAGCCGTAGGATCAAGTAGGGCAGTTCTGCTCGGTATATACGAGTGGTGACGGCAAAGGTTTGAGTCTTCTGATGATGTCCAGCGTCCTCACGTGTTCTTGGGGAAGGGGATTGGCTTGTGGTGTGGTTGGGCAGGCATGCAGCGCCGGGCTCCAAGCTAACGCTGTGAGGGGTTTAGCCCATGCATTCCCGTGATGAAAACTCTGCATGATCCGCTCGCCTGCCGGCGTATCGTGAACCGTTGGATCGTTGGGCCTGCGACTGTGCACTGCAGAACTATATCCGGTCCTGCACCTGCACTTGCAGCAGCGATGCGTCCTCTGGGACGTGCTCTATCAGCTGCCTGAGCTCAGAGCGATTGAGGCTAAGCTTTTGCATATACAAGTGGCGCAGAATGGCGGAAGCCATGATCCGAGCTTTTTTTGCATTCAGGTCTCTGGCGAAAAGCCGGGCTAACAGGTTTACAGTAGCGCCTAGTACGAGACTCAGAAATCCTTCCAATCCTGCCCAGGTTGTACTGTTTCCACAACTGCAGGAGACCGGCTGAGGGCTCCAGGGTTTCGACTTCGTCGCCAAGTTGAGCAGTTTAGAAAGCGCGTGCCAGCAAATTCCCTTTGCCCCTTGGCTCGTTTCATCCTTGTCACCAAGGAGCCGTCGCTCGTCGAGGGCAAACTTAATGGCGTGGCCAGCTGTCTCGGGCCTGTGACAGCGACCTGTGAGCACTCTGAGGTCCATACCCGGTACGAAGGGGTTTAGGGTTTAGGGTTTAGGGTTTAGGGTTTAGGGGTTAGGGTTTAGGGTTTAGGGTTTAGGGTTTACGATGTACGAGCACCGGGACTAGAACAGTGAACAGTGGGAGTGTCTTGGCGGCGTAGATGGACATGGCCGTGGCCCGGCCCTAGATCTCGCAGCAAGCCAAAGCCCCAATGACCTCTCACATCCGAAAGCACCAAGAAGCTGCGCAACCATGCGCGACTGACGTGGCTTTAGCTAGTGATCTTTGGACAGCAGGTCCAACGTTCCATGCCCTGTCCTATAGCTGGAATGACCAGTAGAAGGGCTTCAAGAACTACCCCACCATAGAGTTTCAACTGCCACACAGGTCCGCAGGCGGTCGTCTGCTCCCTCATCTCAGGCGACGGCCGTTGTAGGCCCGGAGCTTCGACACTGACATCGTCTCCAGCATCTTCGAGACGGGATTCGGCTTGATCTGAGAGCACAAGGTTGCAGCAACTCGAAGAAACCACCGGTGATGAGATGCTGAGCTACCCCGTCTATTAAGCGTGTGTTCTCGATTTTTCGAAGACATAATTCATGTTGCGGATGATCTCTGTTCAGCATCTTCACATCGGAGTTTACTTCGACCTGGACTGCTCTGCACCATGAAACTGCCGACCCACTGTCGAAGGCGAGGAGCATCCCTGCAGGTCTTCTTCGGATCGCAAAGCAGCCGGTCGAAGGACATCCGCAAGGCCTCTTTGTATCCTGGGCCATTGGTTTGCCAATAGTTTTCCGTATGGGTACTGGCCTTCGTTCATAGCCGCAAGACGAAAGCGATTGCCACAAACGCCAAGTGGCTACGATAGCCCTTGTCAGCCTGCATCTTCATCACCTGGGTGGGCGAATGAGCAGAGACAACAGCCGCTCTTGCTTTGCAGATCGCGCTGGACACAGAATGCAACATTGGTTTACGTTGCGAGAAGTTATGACGAATGGCACCGTCGCGATGTGACGCCATGTCACACCACTCACAGCTGGTGCCTGTACGAGGAATGTTGACACGGCAACTTGTCTGCTTTTCGGGTGCAACCAGTCCCAGTTCGACGATGTCGTGGAAGCTCCACTTCACACCCGAAAAGTGGTGTAGCAGGCATAGCCGTCGTCGACAGGGCCACGTTGTGCGTGCGCAACAGATCAAGAACATTGTCGCTTCAATAAGTCTTAGACCAACTTAACTAGTGTAAAACAGAAAACACTCTTCGGGCATCCCGATGGCCACTGCTCTCTCAAGTTTGATACATCCTTCCCAGGATGGGCACGGAAACACTGCAACCCATGTGCTTTGAGCTCAGTAAAGTCTGCTAGAGTCGAGGCACCCGATCCATGCCTGCCTTGGCCAACGCCTTCGTCTGGAAGGAGCCATCGATGGCGAACTGCATCTTCCTTCCATGCCCTACTAGAGATCTGACTTCATCCTCATGCTCACAGTAAGAAGTTACAACAACATTGCCGGCTCTCTCTACGTTTGCCTGCTTCGTTAGTCCTGCCGGAAGATGATACCACACCCGAAGGAAACAACATGTCAAGCTAAACCAAGTCCCCTTTCAAGCCCTCAGACAGTTGCTGCGCAGATGAAGCAATCCAGCAGTGACAGGATGCAACACTCAGCACCCTTCCAGATGCCGCGGACCAAACCCTTCACAGTGTCTTTCCCTCTGCTCGTGCCTCGGAACCTTCAGCTTGTGGCCAGACCTGAGTTGAGCGAGTTGGGCGACTGAATGACCACATCCCCCCGAAAAAACATAGACACGAAAGAAAACAAACTGATCGAAACCCATAATGAACCAAAACCAGTCCTAAGGGCAACCCGTCGCCTTTTCAGACATGTGCTTCGTAGGCATTTCAGCCTCCAACCCAGCAACTCAGCCGCCAGGAAAGCCATGCAACCCTCTCTCCCCATCTCGTTCTTCAAACTTTTCTTCCCTCCTGCACGATCCTTTCGACTCTGACGGCCAGTTCTCCGAGCCGTCTGCTCTTGGCATTCTTGAAAACTGAGTGCAAGCCCCAGGTACAGGAGCTCCGAGCCAAATCGCTCAATGCAGACCATCCTTGTCAAGTGCCGAGCGAGAAAATTGTGGGGTCGCTGGGGTTTGGCACTGGCATAACCTCCGCATCTGCGCCATCTGCTACTTGCAATCTATCAAGGGGGTCATCATGATACCGAAGTGCACAGCAAGCTCGCTGCTGTTGTTGAAGTCCAAACACGCAAGGCAAGCAACACTCTTAAACCCCATTCAAGTCCAATTTTGTTGACCTCAGTGCAAACCCGCACAGGCCCCCACACACGCAAAGAACAACTGCCCGACATGGGTGAGTGGTTTGCTATGCGGTGCCGCTTCAGCAGACATGGATCCATGCTTCTGGGGCCTCCAAAGACGAGAAGCCTACCCCCGGAAAACGCAGGCTACACCACGTAATATTAGTGTAGTATATATTGTACGGTATTGTACTCCATATTGGCTGTATAATACTGCTTTAGGTTCTATTATGCTTATGTCACGCTCCTTCATTTTCAAATTCACTATATTACACTCCATTATCGTAAAGGGTCTATCGTATGCTACGAAACTCCGACAGGCCCGGTCACTCGAAGGCCAAGGACGCCATGCGCTTCCCGGGCTGACCATTCCTGGCAAAGCGACTCACTCTAAACCCTAAACCCTAAACCCTAAACCCTAAAGGAGTCCAGGGGCCCAGAGGGCTGACCTCTGTCTGGTCAGGGCCATCCCCCCCCCCCTCTCCTCCGGCGTCTCCGCTGGAGCAGCTGGAGGGTCGGGTTTAGGGTTTAGGGTTTAGGGGGTGGGTCACAAAGAGGGCCGGGATCTTAGCAAGCCCCACGCAAGCCATAAACCTCATAATGTAGCGCGTGCTCATGTTTTAATTTCTTGTAACAGTAACCTGTACTGTAAACCCTACACCGAAGCCTGAACCCCGCCTAAATGCAGGCTCTAAGCCTAAAGCAAAATAAACCATCAACCCCAACGAACCTACACCCCAAAAGCCTCCCTAAGCCCTTGTCGGCTCAAAGCCTGATACTTTTCAACCCTACCTCAAGAACCCAAAACCTACTTTTTTGTAGGGTCCCTATAATATCCCATATTAGGGTTTATAATAAGAACCTACAAAAAAGTGGGTTTGGGGTTCTTGAGGTAAACTCTAAACCCCCGACTCAACAACTTAGCTAAACCCTAAGCCTCAAAAGTCACAACCACCCCACAGAGAAAAGAGGGACCCTACACCCCACCCCACAGGGGGCAGGGAAATGCTGGACTACAGGGGCTCTGGGTTTAGGGTGTCTACGGCTTAGGCTTCAGGGTTTTCTTCCCTCTCATGGCTACAGGACCAGGATCAATGCCCACAATCTCGCGTTTCGGGTTCAGGGTATAGGACTTTGTCTCGAGGATATGGGCAGTTCTCTAAGTTAGGGTCCATGTGTAGGTCCCCAATATAGTACGGCACCCTTTAAAATAAAACGGATCCTAAATTGGACCCTAATGTAGAGAACTACCCATATACCGATCCGGGCTCCGAGCCTCTCAGCCCTCCTTGCCGGACTCCTTCCCTTGGAGCCACAGTATTTCAGAGAAATCTCTTGAACCCTGCACAAGGCTAAATTTATTGGATCTTTTTCTTCCTCATTGTCTGAAACACATTCCTGGCACAATATCGCATGGGATCGAACGCAGTTTCCCGTTTGATGCCTGATCTCCCTCATTGCGACGCTCCGTGGCTGGCCTTTGAGCCTCAGAGTCATCGGCGCCAGATCCAAAATGTCTTTACCAGGCATTCATATCATTCATATCTTTATAGAAATGGCGAAAGTGGGGTCGTACATCCTGCACGAATCAAAACCTGTATGTATGCATTTATGTTGTATGGTAGGTATGTATGTACGTGCGGGTGTCCGGCTTTGAGAGGGATAGGGCTTTGTTTCTTGCGCCGATGTGCAGGCGGGTTTCGTGGCCGCAGGTCTCGACAGGCTTCACGAATACTGAAGGGCCTAAACTAGAGTAACTAGAAGTGCAGCTCAGGAGCATCCACTGAGATCCAGCTGGCGAACTCACGTCCTTCGGATGGCCCACGAAGGATGCACACTCGGAGCTGCTTTTTTTGAACGAGGGCTCTCTGAAGTGCATCCAAGTTGCCTGCCTCATCGATGGTTCGTGCATCAGAAGGCATGCAACACACCAGACCACATTACAGCTCGGAACTGCTGAACATGAAACCTTCTCACGTGGAACCTCAATGATTTACAGGAAAGCAGCTTGGGCAATGCCATCGGTTCCAAGTGCATGCTCAAAACTCGCGAGTCCTTCAGCACGCTGTCCCAGAAGCCACGGTATTGGATATGAGCTAGAGGGAGGGTGTGCTTGGAGAAGATGCAGCGACCTGCTTTGGACCACAGCCGCAAAATGGAGTGCTCATGAGCGCCCAGATTGATGGGACAAGAACTTGACAAGCTATCGCCTTAAAAATCAATCCAAAGCCCATGTCCAGATCTCGACACTGCGGCGAAACTGCCGGTGCTTTGCGCTGCTTGAGCTCCAGCCGGGAATGTAGTATTCCGTTGAATCTGAAAGACGGCCACTCTCTCTAGCAGGAAGGGGTGGCCGCCGAGGACGCACTTTGTAATTGCAGCAAGTTGCTTCAAGGCAATTGAAGGCCGAGAATTCGCGGCTACGGGAAAAAGTAAATTTAGTGTTGATGCCCTCACACTCACACTCGCCAAAAACAGGGGCACAGTATTCCGGAACATCTTTCGACATTCGGAATGTGCCTTTGCCACCGCAAGTCGGTGTGCCCTCCACGATCGTGTACTTGCCCTTGTCATCGTGCCTTTGCTGTCAGCGGCTGACAATGTCGACTGCTGTCAGGTTGCAGTTCGTTATGCTGCTGCATGTGCAGACACGGCTTGGCCATCGCAGGCCTGCCTAAGATATTTGAGCACTTGAACGATCTCAGCATACAGGGCGTACAGTACCGTCGATCTCAGCGTACAGTACCGTCGAACTCTGTACGAACCTGCGGAGAGGTTCACATCCTTTCAACACATCCTGCTACAATGTCGGAATAGTTCAACCTGAGAACTGTTGCTGCAGCTGTTCAGCCACTCCGATTTCGGCTTCAAATTTGTTTGCATACCTTTACTGGAATGCCTTGTGAAACAAGCCTTCTCACCAAGCATGTCTTGGCGTTGCCACTGTGGCATTTAAAAAGAGCTCCAGCAAATCACGGCCCAGACTGGAGAGCCGGATGTCTGTTGACATTGCTTTCGTGACGGCCTCAATTATTGGATGATTGCCGGAGCTATCGAGAGCATGGATATTTTCCAAGGCTTCGAGGGCGAAAGTCTAGGGATGACGGCGTGCAAGTTGTCGGTTGTCGCGGCAAGACCCTGCCTCTAAGGCGTTGTTTTCCAAAGCCTTCCAAAGCCAAGACCTCTGGAACGCTGAGCTCCTTTCCTGACACGCCAGGCAGTCCCAGGTGCATGCTCTTTGTCCGGATCATTCCCTTATAGCCTGTGCAGGGAATACCTGGACAAAGATGGTCTCTTGCTTTCTGGGCTGAATGCTTTGGGGAGTGCTGTTCAGGCACAAGCTCAGCTGGATGCTTGACACAGAATATCTCGGTCAAACACACAAAATCCCAATCGTTCGTACTCCAGCGAACACGGCTCAAGCCGCGAAAGATCACTGCAACTCCCACGGCCGTCATTGTCAAAGGCCCCTGTTAAAGACAACTAGTTTGAGCATGAGTGTTGACTGTCAAAGGCTGCTCCTGAATTTCTTTCCGGCTTGAAGTCCTACACTGGGTCCCGCCCTTGCCCCTCGCCTTTGGGCTGAAGCCTCAGTTTGAGGTCGTCATCGGGGTAGCACGTCCACTCGAGGTGGAAGGCGTCCTTCGCTATGGACTGCCAACGGAACCCCGGGCCGTCCCCAGTTCCCAGTCATCGATGCACTTGCGGATTGTTTTGACCAAGCAGCTGCATGCGGGTCTGACCGCACGACGTCGCGAAGACCGCCCTTGGGAGGCACCACGAACTCGTCGCAGTCCTCGGTCCGAATACATTCAGTTGGGTGGTTGTCAAAATTATGGTCGCTTTTTGGGTCCCTAATATAGTACGGCACCTATTATTTAGGGTACCCAAAAAGGGACCATAATTTTGACAACTACCCAGTTGGGCGGAATGATGTCTTGAAGCCCTATCGAGGGGAGCTTCCGCAAGAACAGCCATGCCCTGGTCACCTGGACTCTTCCCTGAGAGTAGCAACCTCTAGAAGTTCCTCGATGCCAAGAACCTCCAACTTAAAGCGAGTGTCAACATCCAGCAGGAAGTCTTCTTTGACCTTGGCTGATGCGTTGCTTTAAACAGCTCTGACCAGCCGAAGCTTTTGGGAATTCAGAGGCCGAAGGCTGCCTAACGCTACACGAGCTCCCCTTTTTTGGGTTTCTCCCCTTCATTCTGAGCTTGGTCGCCGCATGATAGTTCATCCGCTGGAGATTTTGGCTTCGATAGCTGTCGACAAATGTCACCTCTGCAGAGCAAACATCGCAGGGTGACAGCGGGGCAGGGATTGTGTCTGCGGGTGCCAGTGGTGCTGGCATTTTTTTCCCTCTCGCACTGATGAGAACTATAGTGCTGGCATTGGAACTGGAGGAGTCGAGTTTGACTGCCACGTGTCTGACATGACAAAACTGTCCTAGTCTGGAAAGCCTGTGCTGGGCCTCGGCTCCCAACAAAAAGCACCTCTTTGCGTTGTCGCTTTCTGATTGGGAATGTCTCTGTGCTTCCCATCATCTAGAGATACATGCTCAGGGGCAATTCGAAAACGGACATGCAGTGAATCTGAAGTGGCATTGAACCCTTCCATTGCCGATTCCAGCCCTTGGCCTATGACGCCGGCAAGAAGTAAAAGAAGACCCCCCTGATCTTGACTCTGCAGACTGTAGCCTGTTTTTGTGTAAAGAGATTTCGAAACGACGCTGTTTGCAGTCAAACTTATAAGCAGCTGCAAGGACCGGACCCCGCCTGATGGTCTGAGAAGCCGAAGCCTCTCACGGCAGCTCGGATGGCGGTCTCTTCCGACTTTTTCGTGCAGAAGAGATACCTTGCTCGTTGCAGGCTGGCACGGTTTTCCTGACTCCAGCCACTTCTGAATCACGAGCCAGGCGCTGGCGTGGAAAGGTGTCGACGTCTAGCACCACGAATGCATTAATTACCAGTCCACGATCAGTGCTGATTCGACTGGTGCTGCCAAGCTTTGCTTCCAAGATTGGCGCAGTGGGTGCGCAACAGCGGAAGCGATGATCACAGCCAGGCAACACCCGCTTGACCTTCACATCATGCAAATAGTACTTCAGGAAGTGCTTGAGATAGGGAAGCTCCGCTTCGTAGACGCGGGTCGTCACTGCGAAGGTCGGGACTTTGGCCTCCTTCTCCTCCTGGGTGTCCTGCCACATTGCTCGTCCCCCCAAGCCTTACTTTCTTCATTACCAGCCATAGCTGCTACTTGTACATGATGTTGCCGGATGGCACAGGCTGGCGAAAAGGTCTTTCGCTGCATTACGCTGGTCCTTGACTTGAACCTGCAGCAGCGAGGCCTCCTCGTCTGGCCTCAGCTCGGGTTAGGCCGCGTTGCCATAAAGACTTGCTTCGGAACTGCACTTCTGTACCGCGAGAGGATTCACACGCTTACCAGATCTGGCCAGTCACTCCGTGCTCTGCTTCATGCCTGCAGTCCTGAGAGAGGGAAGTGCACAGTGCCACTGCGGAAGCGAGAGATTCGCGGTGGATACCCACGATACATCAAATTACACAACTTGATGCAACAACAGCTGAGCCAACCCAAGAAAAGCTCGGAACAGAATCCGCTGCAGGACCGGCTTCCACCAACAACCCGAGGCGCTTCCGCTCATCCAGTGCGAACTTTGCATGACCGCTCTTCTCGGGCGACTGGCAGTGACCTGACAAAACTACAGGTGGCGAAGTTCCGCAAGCATGGCTGGTGGGTTTGAGAGTTTTTCTGAATGCGGGCCAGTTTCAGCGGGTGTAACTTCGAACTGGCTGTTGGCACAAATTGACGTTCTCTGCAGCGAGCTTCGATTCTAGCTCCCGCGATTCTGCTCTATGGGCAAAGACAAACGAGTTGGCAACTCCCCACATACATATGGGTCGATCTTTGCATCCATCTGCCTAGATTGCCTAGATGTCTGCATTGTAGGCATAAAAAACTTATGCACACTTTCAATACATGTATATATGCACACATGTATCTGCCTTGCTGTGTGTATTCATGCATGCATGTATGTATGTATATGTATATGTATATGTATATGTATATGTATATGTATATGTATATGTATATGTATATGCATGTATGTATGTACATACGGACGTATGTATGCCAATCTATGCACATAGTACGTGCAAAAAACGTACAGTATGTTGTAGAGGACCCATGTATACACTACTATTTTGGCTATACGTGAATGGAAATGTCCATAGACTGTGTGTAGCCATCTAGAAAACCTGTATGAAGTACATACATGTATATTGTGTATAATTAATTCTTAGTTGTATCTCTCTACATATGTTTGCATTACATTCATATTTATCTATTTACACTTAGACATACCTGGCTGGACCTAGCCGCAGCTACAAGCACCTGCATCTACCTAACTGGCCGAATGGTGCAAAACGGCTCTCACACACATACACACCCCGAGGCGAAGGTCTTCACACAAGTCAGTCGGTCTGTCGTCTCAGGGCTCGGCCGTTGTAGGCGCTGAGCTGCGAGGCCGACAGCTTCTCCAGCATCTTTGACACGGGGTACGGCTTGATCTGCAGGGTACGCGAGAGATGCTGACGACATCTAGTGCGGCAAGGGCTACGTAAACTTCCGGAAGCCATGCATAAGCAGGCAGGATCCACAAAGACTCCCCCTTCTAAGTCGAGCAGCATCGATGCAGGCCATCTTCGGATTGCAGAGCAACCGGTCAAAGGACTTGTGCAGCGCTGCCTTGTATCCTGACGATCAAGTCTCGAAAAAAGGGTCTGAAATCTGAAAGGCCGGCGCAGCCGGCGCTTGTCTTCATCACATATTGGAAAGCACCAATTCGAAGCCTAGTTGCTCTGGTAGCCCTTGCCTGCTTGCATCTTCATTACCTTGGCGCTTTGTCACGGACAGGGCATCAAACGATCTTATACATGTGAAGGCCGCACCATGCGACGCTGCACATGCCTTCATCAAGCACCCTTGCAGCTAGCCGAGTTGTACTTGCATCATACACACCTGGCTGCCTATTGCGGGCGTTCAGGGAAAACGGGAGCGGGGGTGAAGTCAAGGCACCCGATCCAAGCCTGCTTTGGCCAAAGCCTTCGTCTGGTAGGAGCCGTCGATGGCAAACTTCACCTGCCTTCTTCGCTTGGAAGCTGTCGGAAACATAACTCATAAGGACATCTGCACATCACCAGTCGAGTCGCGACAAAGACGGGGCTACAAAGAAGGACGGAGCCGGTCTCCATGCCAGCATCCCGCCGTCCCCGAGAAGACAGATCGTGCTCACCAGCGCAGCAATATGTAGCACAGGTAAACACATCGACAGCCACCGACCCAGCCAAATCGTAGAAACAAGAAAAATGAATTAGTCCAAAACCCTGGATGGCCTCGGAACCTTCAGCTTCTCGTGAGACCTGGGAAGTAGAAATCTGTTTGGTTAACGGATTTGGGCTCTCCTACCGCGGTGTCTCCTGCTAGAGATCCCAACCTATGATGCAAAAGAAGCCGGGGAGCCAGACATCGAACTTCCGAAATATCAGCCGGAACCCGGCATGGTAGCTCTGCTGCAGCTTGCGCACCCCGTGAAAGACACATGGCATCACACTGAGCCAGGAACAGGAGCTCTGTGCCGTATCTCTCTACGCAGACCATCCTGGCAGCTACAGGAATGCTTGGCGAGCAAATGGTTGAGAGACGAGAAAGGCGTCCGTAGGATTACTTACTTGACGGGTGAATGTCCCAAAGTACAGCAGAAAGGAACTGTGGGAGTGGCATCCGAGTCTTGCCACTGCGGATGGAAGGTGCCGCGGTATTAGCAGCATGTCGTCCGACAAGACTTTCAAACCGGTGTGCATCTGCAGCTTCTCAGCTGCAGGCACAAGCTTTGTCGTAAGCGCATGGTTCTGAAGGCTTCGTTTTGGAATGTCGGGAGGCGAGTTGCGCAACACGGAAGTGGCATGCGCCTGCACCCCTCGTCGACAATTGGTATCATACGAGTACGTTCATATTATTTCGATGTCCGCCACAGCATCCCCGCGATGCAAGCAATCAATTTGCTGCCAGTGCATGTCTCACCACGGAAGTGCTTTACTGAAGCTGATGGGAATAGACGAGGTTTTGCGTGATATCACTGGAAGGATTCCTTGACGGCATGCTGGAGTGCTTGGGTCATCCTGCAGCACTCCAGATCCCTCGGACTGCAGAAACTAGCCCCAACAAAGACATGGAATCACAAGCACAGTGCTCAAGATCTGGAACGAGGCACCCCTGAACCCTCCTCAGAAACCTTTTCTGTACATGGGCCCAGCGGCTCGAAGGCCAAGGACATCATGCGCTTTCCTGGCCGACCGTTCCTGTCACACGCTCAAGGCTTGAAACCCATTTGAAAAGGGACTCGCGCTTGGCTAAAGAAACCCGTTGGAATGCACGCAAGTGTACGACGATACCTCCGTTGGCGCCTGATTTCCTTCATTGCGACGCTGCGTGGCTGGCCTTTGAGCCTCCGGGTCGCAGCACTCAGATTTAGGCTTGTGACCGTGGGAACCTGATTCTGGATGAAGTGCCGTCTCAGTACGTAACAGACGCTCTACCTGAACTCCCGCAGCTGGGCCCATGTGGGTGCTTGGTTCAACGACTTGGGCTTAGTGACTCGGAGGCAACGGGTGGGTTGCCTATACAACTGCCACCCAGAAGCATCCACTGAGATCCTGCTGGCGAACTCACGTCCTTCGCGCCAGCAAACGGCAAAACCATGACTCAAGGTGCGCTGCTTGCGTCCTTCAGCACGCTGTCCCAAAAGCCACGGTACTGGACATGCGCCAAAGACAGGACGTGCTTGGAGAAGATGCAAGGACCTGCATGGGATGGCGCGGCTTCCGTGCAGCTACAGACTGGGAACAGTCAAGCCCAGAAATGAGAACACGAGGTATAGGCATACCTGAAGAACCCCAAACCCACTTTTTTGTAGGTTCTTATTATAAACCCTAATATGGGATTTATAGGGACCCTACAAAAAAGTAGGTTTTGGGTTCTTAAGGTAGGTGAGGAGACATCAAATTCCTGAGCAGAAAAATGCTGGTGGCACTACGCTGGGTGTGACGTCGCGCCTCTGCCACCACACTGCGGCACGCCCCCGACAACTTCGAAGTGGCCATTGTGGTCATGCCTTCGCTGTTTGAGTGTTCTATCAAACTGTGTTCATTATCAGGCGGGTGCTTAATCAAAGGGGGAAGTGACAGTGATTGTAGCCGAGCTTTCCGGATGCAAAGTCTGAGTGACATGACTGCATAATCGTGTTCGTTGCTGCGCCATATGTCAATTTCAAGCCGTCGACAAACCCACTGAGCAGCTGAATTATGATTTCCCTCCGTTTCAGTGCCAGGGCATCCCAGGTGCATGCTCTTCGTCTTGATCATTCCCTTGAGGCCGGTGCATGGGAGACCTGGACAGCAGAGCCGCGCCCTCAGAATTCCGAAGCAGTCATTATCCACGTAGTTCAAGAAGGAATCTCGTGGCTGTTTGAAGCTGGGCATGGTGGCAAAGCTTCGTCGGTTCGACGTCATGGGGCATGTCCGAAAGCCTGATCAAAAAAAGTCCTCAATTACGCTTAAGACCTTGCACGCTGATCGCCTTTGGGCTGGAAGTTCAGCTTGAGTTCGTCGCTGGGGTAGCAGGTCCACTGCATGTGGAAGGCATCCTTCAGCAGCCCGCTCAAGAAGCCGATGCTCGGTAGAAGAAGAGTGAGAGAATATGTAAAAGAGTGCTTTAAACCAAGTGTCTGCATGTGGGTCTAACTTGACTATGCCACGAAGACCGCCCTCGGGAGGCACCAGGAACTCGTCGCAGTCCTCGGCTCCAGTACGAACCCCTGCTATGCGATGCTTCGCGTCCTTCGGACGACGGGACATATTTTGCCTGCATTGCTCGACGAGGTCCGCGAGGCAGGGGCTTTGCCCAGGCCAGTCAACTTCCAGTAGGCTGCTCTTGCGTCGAGCCTGCACAGCACAAGCGCCTTACGGCTGCTGCCCAACAACTCAATAGCTCTCTTGGAGAGTTTGGAGAGTCGGGTTCCAAGATATTTCTTGCTTCCCGAGTTTGGGAATTTGGAGCTGAAGATCCATGCCAACGGCATGCCTGTGTCGACTCTCACAGCTTTGCAAACCGGGTTTGAACTCCGGCCGCGCCGAGCTGCAAGACTAAGAAAGCTAGAGGCAAGCGACTTCCTTCGGAATTCGCCGTTTACATTTTGGGGATCATGAGTATATCGTACTCGTCATCTCTCTGCAGTGTGTCCTTCTCGGTGCCTATACACAGAACAATCGATGATGACATTTTTGAAAAGAAGGCAGTTTCAGATGCCTATTGAATTCAGCAACGCGGAGGTGTGGAGCAAATAAAAAATGCTGTTTGCTGAAAGACGTCCAGCGGTCTAGCGTCTCTCCAGCTTTTTCTACGAGGTCTTGACACGCTTCCCTTAGGCCGTAGCCACGTCAGTAGAGCTCTTGTCAGAGGAGTCGACTGTGGTGCCGAACACCCGATGCCAACGTGCGAGAATGAAGACCCAGCAACTGCCAAGTGCGTAGACTGTCCCGCCTACGAGCAGGAGAGGGTTTAGGGCTTAGCATGGGATGGATGCTGCAGGCACTCGGTGCATAATTGAATGCGATAGCCG